TTAGTGGACTATATGAAGATATCGATCGCTCGTTGCTTAGTGAAAGACAAATGTCGACATCTGCACATACGAGGTTTGCATTGCAGTAGTTCAGCCGTCGTTGCCGGCGATTTCTGCCGTGTGCTTCACAGCAAGGCTAGAGCAAGCACGGCGACTTGCTCGTGAGTTGGTTTATAGTGAGTGTAGCCCTGCGCGGCACATACTTCATTCTCTCCTTCATAACCTGAGTCCGGTATCAAGACATAGGCATAAAGACTGGAGGCGCGAGGGGGCCCAGGTGGCTGACACGGCGGAACCCGCGCCTAGGCGTACCACCACACCCCCTGGTCCGCAACAAACACGTCACCGAAATTTTAACCATCAACAAGTACTAGTCAGAAAGGGGAGGTTAGCACTGTAGACCAACGGGGACGTGTGTGTCCCGCATAAATAACCGCTGCTGGGCTTTGCTCTGTGCACAATCCTTAGTAACAGTGTCGGACAACAATGATCGCTGGCAAGGCTTACTGTGCCGAACTATGCCTCGTGTAGGGCTTATATGGTATCGGCGTATTTACAGGTATCCGGAGGCGAATCACGTGGTCGTCTTTCGAAGGGCAGCTCAGAATTACACGGTGCAGGCAGGATTGCATATTCGGATTCTCTCCCACATGTCTTGGAAACATTCATTTTGAAAATCATATGAGAAATGTGACTGAGGTCTACAGAAAATGACGAAAAAGCAGCCAGACTCCAGGTGCATTACGTAAATTGGCTGCTGGCCTATCGGAATGCTTCTTCAAAACCCCCTAATCAATGACTGTGGTCATGCTTGGCGCGCCACCCATCTGCGTCTTCGTCTTTCACACGAGCTCCTAGAACATGCGTGATCTCGGACAGAAGGACAAAATTAGCATGTCCCGCAGCTCCAGGAATGTTCTGCAGTCAACTCCCACAACATGGAGAGGCCGTACAGGAGAAGCCTTCATTTGTCTTGTGACTGGCGTCAGTCGTTTGTTGCAAACTCACGCACAAGACCTCGTGCCTACCTTGGGTAACTTGGAAAAATTCCGCGATGCTATAATATTGACCCAATTGAATCCTCGGAAGCGTCAACGCATTAACCCTCATGACAACCTCTGACCTACTGGCAAATAAACGATGGAATTTTAAATTGCATGTCTCAGCGCGTGAAGGGCAGCAATATAATGTTCCCTCACGTGCATAAAGTCAACTTTAAGGCGATACCTGAAGCAGTCCCATCAACTCAACCGTGATTGCGGTATATGCTAACTATTCAGGAGAACTGAAGTGTTCCTCTTTGTGTTTGGATCCAAAAGCGGATTTCTAAACGCAGAAGAGTAATACACTGTCTCCAGTGTAGTGCTGAACGCTTGATGGGAACCAACAACGTCATGATCATTCATATCGTACAAACATTGGAACGGAAAGTTTTGCCTTGCCTATAGGCCTGAATATGGAGCTGGTAAACTTCTTGTGTGAGAAGACTGCTTACTTGCTGATTGATTGAAGCCTGGGCCTCGGATGAGAACTCGGTCAATCGATTTATCGATCTGGCGCCGGCGTACAGAGCCCTTCGTAGTCACCTCCAGTCGTGCGACGTCGGTCGATGATTGGGTCTACGTGCCTTATAACTGCCGCTTGTCCTGTTTCTGCCACTACCTCTGACGATGGACTCCTGTACGAGTCTGAAAGCTCAGGATAATAAACGAATTGTTCCGGTGCTCGATTCTTCTTCTTCTTCAAATATGATTACATACCCTCTGAATGGACAAATACTGTCCCTGACTGGGGAGCAACAATACTTATCCTACGTTGGCAAGCGTACTGCATATGAAAAATGGTTTTGCCCAAATAATATAAATCTCCCATTTCTGAATGCAATCGAAAAGCTGGAAAACGTACGCTTGGCCAAGAAATTAGATTCTTTCACTTTTGCAAATTGAATCCTGTGCTTTTACCGCTATTATTTGCAGTCGATGTTTTGTGTGAGGAACGCGATGTTGTTTATTCACTCGAGATGCTCGCAACACAGTAAATTGCTAAGCGAGTGTGATCGAATTCAAGTAGGAGTGACAAGTGGCCTTTTTACTGCATAGTTTATATTTTTAATAACCACAACAAATTATAATATCAAGCATCCAGTTACCACGAATTCCCCATGGCTCTTCTTGATTCACTAGTGTCATTGTAAGGCCTTGCGTAATTTTCCACATTCGGCCAGCCCGGTCCACGTTAAGCTGTTTCCGATATAATCGATTATATTTGTTTTTATTTCAATTGGTAACCAGGACAAGGATTCCGGCTGGAAAATAATAGGTCCCTCAATTAAAATCCTCATTGAATCTGACAGACGTATATCCGAACCTCCCGACACTTCCCGGTAAGACACATCAGTCTCGATGAAAGGAGTATAAATCTCGATAGACGTTTTCCTCAGCCCTTCATTAGGAATCTTAACGGGAGTTTAAAAAATGAGTATTCTGAATTACCTCACACGTAACGTTCATAACTGCATAGGAAATATGCAAAACGCAGGTCAACGTATAAGAATTAGTTGACTCGATAACACCTGTAGTAATGCATGCGCTGTCAGTTCTGAAGTGCACCTCCTCAAAACCCCGGACGCATGGGAATTCACGGACCTCCGTCACTTTTCTTGGTATTTCAAGGAGAGAAGCAATGAGCCAGTACACGTTCTTTGTGACTTTTTTCAGTCCATAGTGAGGGCAGAATAATTGGTCTAAATGTGGTTTGAATTATTAGAAAGTAAAACAAATCATCTCCCTCGCGAGAGATGTAGGCGTTTTTTGCCCATTACCTGGTGGATGTTGACAGGAAAAAACACCGCAAGGGATAAAACACAGAATGTACAGTATCAATGCCACTCTCTGTTTTGTAGTTCTCATCATCTGATTTACGTTTGTGGTTGTCAATTAGCTCCCAAGTGCTGCTTCAATGTTGGTTTTAACTTCCCCTTTGGAGAAGTGTCCGAGTCGATACTTTCTAGGAGTTAAAGCACATAGCCCGTCAGCAGTACAAACTGGAATCTACCAAGTATCACGAAAGGCAAGAGTATCAATGGATGTAGCCCGACCTATTGCATTAAGTGGGCAGGACGAACGTCCATGCAGCTAGTGAAAACATTTAAAGGGCAGGAGTAATATGAACAAATAAGTCAGGTTGTAGCATGCCTTAAAATTCTCAAGGTTCATATCATTGGCAAAAAATCACGCCGACCTGAATTGAGAAGAAAATATAGAAATATGCTTGTAGCAACTAATAGTCAAAATATCATTACTCAGCAAAGTTCAAAATACCAACATTGTTTGTAGAATGAGACGTCTACCGTAACTGCAGAAGTTTTCTCCAAAACGGGCACTCAGTATACAGCAAGTGGACCTCTGATATTACAAATGCCACACAACTTTTATTCTCACCAAACCTGATTCTCATTGGCATCTGCCGGGTCCAATATATGTTCACTGAATCATGTCTACACATTTCTGGTTGGTTCTGTTTAGAAACGTAGACAATTAGTAAGTTGTGCAAATGCCAATACGGCCATTTCCGCAGATGTAGAAGTCCGTTTTTTTGAGACAAATTGACAATCTGATGCTCTCGTGCTGTTGCTGTACATGCCTTCTTCTCAACTTTTTGCTGCGAATTGCGCGGGGTACTGTGTTTTGCGGACATGCAATGTTTTATTTTTGTAACTTACCGGCTGTTATTGAACAATTCTGGAAGACTACATACCATTCTTGCATGCTACGTTGAAGACAGGACCATTCGTATTCGATTGCTGATTGGGACATTGAACAATATCAGGCAGTATTGTGGTCATCCAAAAGAGGACTCATCCGATTGCCTGATGATAAGATGTACTAAAAGATCAATGCGACTGGCAAGATATAGCAGCGTTAGCAGCATCCAGCCGAATAGTCACAACCGTAACTGTGATGACGTTTTTCTTTCCCGGCCTAACATAATCTATGCTGATTAAAGTTTTAATCGTACTGTCAACATAGAAGTAGCTTAAAGCCTACACACATGTTTTGTCAATTTTTCCGTTTTTGCAATGAAGAGACATTTAGGGGCTCGCCTACTCAATGCGTTCCTTAGCGTTGCTTATTTGGTTTTTGTTATGCAAACACCAGATCATATCCTTTGCTTAGTAATCTTCGAAATAATAAGCTTAATAAAGCTTATCTTGACTTTGATTTCTGGAAGAAAGTCCAACCTTTACTTGGTAGGAGTTGACAAAAACAGTAATCTCTTCTGTTAAATTAAGTCGTAAAATAACTCAATTATCACTTTCCCGCCGTTGATGTACATGCTAGAGAAATAATAAAAGGGAAGCGATAAAATATGCTGTTCCATGAGGTAAAAGGAGTAGGCGCATGCTTTAGCACAAAAGGAGTGCGAATAGAAGTGAACAGGCGAGTTATAAAAAGCAGTTCTGATGAATTGGAAAATGAGACTACTGGAGCAAGAAGTTTGCTGGCATGGCGTTTTGGATTCTCACTACATATCATCATCGGAGACATTCGCAGACAAGTATAATAAATGCCTTCAGTTTAAGCCCGGGACGATCTTTCAAACATTTCGGTCCCTGTGCCGCCGTGCTGCCGAGTGCATGGTTGAGGTCGATGTTGCTTACTATCGAACAGTCGACGTGTCGTGGGCAAGTCGGTATGTGGACTAAGGGCGTGTGAACTGATTCGATTTGGACTATAACGTTTTGCCACAGATTTTCATGAATGAGCATAAGACCGCACTGGCCCGTGCGACAAATGCATACTCTTCGGCAGCTGAGTCGACTGCCAGGGAAATAAACTGCCTGATAACTGAAATGATGCGAACCTCTTATCCATTTATACGGAGGTTTCGGCTTTTAACGAGAGATTATACACCCAATTTGCACATCTAATGATTCAGTCAGTCCGGTAGAGTTTAAAACAGACGCTTTAAAGAAAACTCTAAGAACCTACTAAATCGCCCGATCCGGACGGTATACTCACAAAAGTGCTCAAAACAGGCAGCAAAAATTGACAACAGCTGCGTTCCGCAGGGCGTGTTCGGTGGGATGGCAGCAGCAGGGTTTCTACTCTGCCCGTACGATAGCTAGGTGCTACATTGGAATGGAAGAAAAGTATGACCGCGTATGGCAATCCACCTCGCGGTACTAGTTACAACTGTTAATGTAGATATGATTAATTTCAGACAAGATGAAGTGAATCCTGTCCGTTCCAGGCTACAGCACGCCTAAAATTACCAACGGTCAGATAACTGGGCGTGACAACCGACACATCCCCCTACAGACAGTGTCACTCATTGAATAAGGAAAGCAAGAAGAACGTAAACACAATCCAACACCCGGTGAATGAACCAAATCCCCAATGAACGGTGCTCTGTAATCTGAAGGCTAGGGTTTCCCGTCTTGTCTCTTGCAACAGCACACCGTAAATTACTTAAGTGCCGATCGAAAAAGTCGCCCAAAGATAGCGCCACTTCCGGGATAAGGGAAGTAAAAAGGACGTATGTACAATTCCAAGCCCACTGATTGAATAGCCTGTGAAGTCTCCAGTGAAGGCTTTTTGTAACCAGGACTCCCATCGTGTTCCGAGCTACGGAGTACGGTAGTTTGTAAAAGTTCATATAACAGTACGCGGCGACCGATACACTCTACCCGAGAGGATAACACTCGCTGGAGTAGGATAACAAGGACCTCCAAGTGCACGTCCACGCCTCTGGGTGTAGCACTTGTCAAGTCTGCAGTTAACAGTCTCCGAAACCGAAGTGGAAAAGTCGCCTGTATGTTCCGAGCTACTGCAGGTACTGGATTTCGAAAGGAATAAAAGTGTAACCGGTAATGGAAACGAGTGTTAAGAACTGGTGTGGCCGCCAGATAAGTAGCAGGGCTAATTAGGCACATCGTTTAAATCTAAACTGGGGGGAGACCACTCAAGAAAGTCATACCAATAGACGTCTCGGCGAATTTGAATAATTTCTTAAAAAACTCGGCGTATTTGATGTAATTCGCACGTAAGACAGGAAGGCCAAGGCTTGAGGACATCCAACACTGTAACCCTCTAAGTTACGAGTCCCCAATTGTTTGGTGGATTCTAGAGGAATTGCTCATGGAATCCTTGTTGGACAGCCAACTTTTCGTATCAGAACTGGTGGATCCACACGTTGCAGTAGGTAAAGAAATTGATTTTACCCACATGTGATTAAATTCGCGACTCCCTGTGTGGCCTCGTAGCTTAGGTGTTTAGGGCGTTAGCTCAAGCCTTCTTCTTGCTCTCGTGGGTTTGAATCTCACCGAGCTCACCAATTTCTCACAAATGGGTCATAGAAATTATGTAGGGGGTTACGGCGTTGCACTTCTTACCAACAGGTCGCGGGATCGGGCCCCTAGGGATTCACGTGAAATCTAGGGTTTGACGCGGTTGTGTAATGACCTCCAATAAGCCCCAAATATGTCTTCCAGTCTGAAGGTGTTAGGAGAGCGTAGGCATTTCAAGTTTGAAATGGCATTATCGACAATGACAAGGGAGACTGTCGGTAATACCATTCGGCCTATATCATGCGTCGCTGTGCGAATGCTCGTTGAGCTTCAGAGAGAGTCCGTAAGGCAAAACTGGACGAGTGAGTCCCGTGGAAACGAACGGTGAGCGTCCCTCTGCCATTTCTGCTTCCCTTCGTTGGTCACTGCGAACGCTTCATAGACTGCCCCGTTTTCTGTTATGCGTTCCATCACGCTGACATGGTGCTGACGCAGCATGTGCATGAATCGTTCACAACAGGAGAATTTTTTGCATGATTTCCAGAGTCCATCCCGATTTACCATGTAGAATGCTGTGTCAGTTCCACGACGAAAATAGAGGGGGTTATATGCACTTCCTGGTATTTTCTTGTAGTTGCCGGACAACCAAGTTCCTTTCGCTTCTCCCACAATGTAATCGGCAGCCGTACGGATTTTCTGGGCGAAGTCCGTGTTTCAGAGGCCCGTTGAGGCGATTGAGAGTGTTGCAAACGAAGATCTTCCCGACAAGGTTGAGCAGAATGATTACTTTTTGAGTGTGACAGAATTGATGATTCCCTTACTATTTCAAGAGACGGACGGTAGTCGCGTGCTTGAGGTCCTGCGAAAAGTTTCCATGGTGCCATATCTTCTGTAATATCGTTTCAAGTTTGTCCATCAGTAGTGGGACGGCATTCCGCCAGATGTTTTTTGCAAGCCTGCGATTGTTTCTGGAGGGTTTGGCGAGAGGTCCGGGTTACTATTTGTTTCCATTTAAGGAAGCCCGTCGCTGATGCGTTGAAAATCGTCGATGGGCGGCTAATGATCATAATAATGACTTCAGCACGAAACTGTAGAACCTGAGATTTCTCCACTAAAAAGCCGGCGAACAATGTTTAGCGGTGAGATTCCTTTGTGATTGTCACGAAGGGGCGGGTTCCCTTTCCGCTTACTGAGCTGGATGTTTTTCGCGTGGTCCATCCGGATGCGGACTATGAAGTCAACAAGGGTAACCGGCTTGTCTATTTTCGGTACGGTCGCCAAGAGGGTGTAGAGATCCTCGCCGAATTTGTTTTCTGTCTCCTCGCAACTGGTTTTTGTATGGAGAAGACCGAAGGCGCTAAAGACAATGGGTCCAGTTTCGTGAATCAGTCGTGGATGTCCTGAAGCAGACTGGGCAGACGTTCCACGATGTCGTTCAAATGGCAAGGACGACGTCAGTTTTGCGCTTCTATGCCTTTTAGTGACCGCCCCAGGAGGAGCAACCGAATCCCATCTCCTCCATCCGCCTCTGTTCAAATAATCGTGTTATCGCTAAAAGCAGTAATATCCACACTATAGCAAGTCAGTTTTGAGCAGCGAGCGACGTTCAACGCTGATGCC